TGAGGTTTGTCGACAAGCGGAGTGACGACTACAGACCCTGATTTGCGTCCGAACGCGACGCGACAACGCTAGTTACTAAGCATACATCACAATCATCCAGCGTCTTCCACAAACACATCCTCGCATTGAATTCTTCATACTACTATACTCATGAAAGCTGATTTGCGTCTCCACCCGCAATATACCCGCCGAGCTTCGTCATACCTTAACCCATAGCCTCAAATCCAGCGACGTAGCCACCAGCCCTCCTCCCCAAATCCCTTAAACCCCATACTCAAAAAACTGTCTATCCCTCTCTTCACGCGGACAATACCCCCGGTCGCACTCACACATCACAACCGTATCCCTCAGCCTATTCTCCATTAGCACATTCCTACTAACAATTCAAAACCTCACAACCAGTACTTACTGTCCAAAAATCCCGTCATCGTCATCGTCATCCGGCAACCCCGCCTCATCCAAACAACGCACAAGATACGGCAGCACCTCCTTTGTCCTCTTGCAAAACGGAAAAAGCTGCCAATGGATACTATCCGGATACACACATTGTGAATGGAATCCCCAGCCGTTGTTGCGGTAGACGTAGTCGATGGGATGGAGCTCTGTGATGGAATAGTTGTCTTCGTCCCAGTCGGCGTTGTATGTGAGTGTGGAGGCTGGGTGCCAGGGTCCGGTGGGGGAGCATGGTACATGGGTATTAGTGGGAGTGGTAGGAGGAGAAGAAGAAGAAGGAGGAGGAGTCGGGACGACGTCTCCGAAGCCGTTGATCCAGAAATCTGGGAGTTCGTCTCGGTGGAACGTTGGGATGGAATACACGTGGTGCATTATCGCTAATACGATTTTGAGTCGCAGCTGGTGGAGTGTCATGGTATGAGACGCAGTCATGGTTGCTGGTCCCTCAGTGCCGGGGGTTGTCCAAATTTGGATTGTGACTGTGTTTGATGCTTGCGTAGTCGACGTCTCCATGACGAATGGTAACGCATTGATGCGCACATCGGCAAGCGAGACTGCGCCTCCCATCTCAAATCTCAGAACGTACGACGGACCGGGCTGTGGATGCGCCTTATCCCGGGTGACAATCCTCGCGGTGATGGTGTCTGGCTCTCCATCTGAGTAGGTCGACTTGGGCATGTAGGTCTTGCGGAGGAAGGTGCGGAGGTCTTTGAAGTCGTCGAATTTCGTTTGTATCTGCTTCGTGCTCATGGTCAACACGAACTTGTTCTCGAAGAGAAACTTGTCGCGCCAAGTGCGGTAGAAGTGTCTGTTGACGTGGATGAGTCCGCAATCGAATTTCGTGTCATTGTCAAGATCGATGGTTGTTCCCTCGATGGGATGTACGACCATGCTGAAGATGCGGTCCTGGATAGAATCAGGAAGGGTGAGCAAAGTTAAGGGTGTGCTACGTTGCGAGATAAGCTTGAGCAGAGACCCGTTGTCTTCAGCGATAAAGTCTGTCAGGTAATCAGGGTTCGCTTGGAAACGACCTGGGCATTGCCATGGCTGAGGTGTAGCTGGAGTAGTCCCCCAGTTGAGTATCCCGCCAGATCCATCTCGCTTCAGCGCAACCGCGCGCAGTTGCTGTCCATAACGCCGGAGTCCAAGTTGACCCCGGCAGATAGACTGGATGATAGCAGTCACGGCCGTAGCGTCACACTCAAAAGTACTGGGATCCGGCGACCTGGTGAAAGAAACAAGCACCGGCGAGTCTCGACTCCAGATGGCGCGAAGGAGAGTAGTAACATCGAAAAGCTCGGTCCAATCCTTGAATACAAAGCCAAGCCCCTCGTCAATTCTGTGATATCGGTAATCTGCTAGGGAGCTCACATCAAGTTCCATCTTAGTGAGCCACTGAGCTTGAGTACCTAAGCGAGTGATGAAGGTGCTAGATATCTCAGCGTAGGAGTGGTATGTTGAACGTACGATATCCGGTTTCAACATAAAAGTATTGTTGGCATAGAAAGATGAAGCGGCCTCATGGTATAGCTTTCGACAGGAGAGGAAGAGATTTATCGGGATGCATGACTGGCCGTTGAAATATAGACCCAGATCGCAAGTCCAAGGCTCTATTCCGTAGTATCGTACTCCAAGCGGTGTCGGAGATTTGAGAATGTAATCGTAGATCTGATTGCGGATTTCGCCTGGGAATTCCAAGAAGGAGTGTTTGTCTGGGTTCGCGCGTTTCGAGTCGCCGAGAGCAATGGGTGAGGCGTAAGCGTTGACTGACATTTTCGGTGGTTGAGGAGGAGGTACTGGAGGCGCCGAAGTACTTATACCCGGGCAGGAGCGAAGCCCTAAGTACTCCCTAGAACTCTACCAGGCACCAGCACCCCCAAGGAACCACAATACAAACCAGGCTCTTTCTGAGTGAATGTTCTACCCTTCTTATTCACAGTCCATACCCCCTCAACCACCTCAACTCCCTAGCCTGATGCTCCAACGCCCTCCTCATCTCAACCCCATACATTCTCTCCCTCATCTTCTCCCCTCCCTCCCCCCCATCACCCTGCCTCTCCAGCGCATCCTCAAAAACGTCCCTCGCCATCGGCGGTTCCTTGCCAAAGCCCAACAGCCCCAACTTGCCGTCTCCAGTCCACAGAACAAGATTGTTCAGACCGAGCGACTCAGTCCCAGAAGAAGAAGCCGGAGAGTAAGGCGTAAGCAGAGAGGCGTTCGTCGTAGGCAGTATCTTCTGCACAATATCCCCCCACCCCGCCTCCTCATCCGGCGTCGCATTAACAAGACTACTGGTATGATGCTGGCTCGTCACAGCCTCCCCATCCTTACTCCTCTGGAAATCATTAATGTTGAACTGCCGCACGGGCGTACTCCCATCCCGTTCAACCCACTTCAAATTCCCATCTCCGTCTGAGAAAACAAGTCTCGTGCCCTGCGGCGCCACAGCCAGCAACTTGGAACTACTAGCCGTTTGTCTGTTCTGATAATACGCCTTCTGGTTGCGCGTCGTGCGGCTGTCGCTCGAGTTGATGGAGCGAGACGGTTCATTCGAGAGGCCATACAGTTCCAGCGAGCCTTTGCCTTTGTATTCACCCGCTGCGATCAATGTGTATCCCGGCGTAGATTTCGCGTCGCGCAACAACGCCGGATTGCTGTACGGTCGACCCAGCCTCAGATCTTGTGGCACGAAAGGATGCGGTATAGCCGTGATACACGATAGCCTCGCGCCAGAATGCACAGTACCGCGTAACCGAGGGAAAGACCTCCGGTCAAAGTTCAACATACTGGTGAAGCGTCCTGCAACCCAGATATCGCCGTTTCCATCCCAGTCGCGCGTTGTGGGTAGATGGAGTATAGATAGCGCACCGGGCTGGGAGAGCGAGACGTGGCCGTCAAAGTCGCCGGTGTCGAGGCGCGAGAAGTCGCTGTCTGTTGGGCCGCCGATGAGCTCGCAGCGGACGGAGGAAGGCGGTGCGGGCGGTTTGCGCGAGTCGTGGAGGTGGAGCGTCCAGTTTGTGCCGACTGTGAGGGGGGTGCGGTGGTGGGCTTCGGAGAGGGCGGTGATGGGGAAGGGGTACGGCGTCCGTGAGACGACTTGGAGGGTGTTGAGGTCGACTTCGTTGAGGGCGTTTTTGACGGCGAAGAAGCCTTTGTGGAGTTTGCTGTCGATGCTCACGCATTCGACGGCACCGGTTTCTGTCATGATGGCTTGGCTCTGTGTGAGGCGCGTGTCGTAGTCGAGGTCTGAGCCTCTGCCTGGTAGCAGCCCGATGTCGCTCTTCGCTATCATCTTGCCTTGTCGGTCGCTGCTCGCTGAGGCGTCCCAGATGCTGATACTGCCATCGTCGAGGGGGGCGATGAGCTTATCTGCTAGCCCGTCGCTGTCAAACAAGATGCCCGCGCCTGTAGCCTCCCTCCTTATGACACCCTCATCTCTCTCCTCCGTCCCAGCATCCTGAAACCAGCTAATCTTCTGCTCGGCATGGCGCTGTATAAAGTCCTGGTACCAATTCACCTTCTCGTCAGGGTAACTAGGATCCCAATTCGCAATCAGCGCCTGCCTCCGCTTTTCCTGGTTGCGCTCCTGCTGTGACTCTGCACTTGGCGCGCTTTCATCGTGAACAGAGGTATCGAAGGTGTTGGCAAGCGTGTCGGCGGCGCGTATCAGCTCGGCGAGGCGGGGGTCGATGTCGGTGGTGATTTCGAGGCGGCGGCGACGGCGCTCAGCGGTTGAGTGGGTGAAACATAACGACTTCCAGAGGTTGTTGTCGCGCGAGAGGTTGAGGAAGCGGCGCGACACGTGTTGGAGGGCGACGAGCTCCGAGGGTTCGAGGTCTGGGGGAGGGTCAGCGCTCGGTGGGGGATGCGCGTGAGGAGCACGGATGCTTACAGGAGATGATGTGGAGGATCAGCTCGTCGGGGAGATGTATCATGGTTCTTGAGGAAGACTTAGCACCCTGACAGTATGCGTAGATATATGTAAGATGATTGTGGTCTGTATGTCGAGAACAATGGCGGATGCGACACGTTTATCTTTCGCATCTCACGGTCGAGATTCAAGGGCTCAAGGGCTGACGACATGCCGCCTCGGTCCATGACTCGTTGCCCTTTCCCCACACACCGCCTTTCCTCATCAAGCTCACCGAAAAGCGAGGTTGATATCTGTGTATGTTGAGCGTGAATATATCGCGTAAGATTCATGATTCTTATACTGGTGGTATCATCATCAATGTAGATACATTGAACAATAGTCGACTCAAAAGCGGAAAGATACTCTCGAATGAGGTCTATCGGAAGTTTGGAGACCTCAACATAGCTACATGAATCTCGCATTTCAAGATTATCTCACCATCTCCCTCCCCATCTCCCTCTACCTTCCTCCCTCTTCTCAAGAAACCCGTACTCATTACACACGAAAAGAATCCGTGCATGGTATCATCCCTATATTTTGCTTCAAGAACGAAAAAAAAAAGACCGAAATGCCCCATATCCCATCCCTTTGTGTATACTCCCAAAACGCCCCCACCCAATATCATATCCACGCTCTACCGATGATGCATCCCCTTCTCCACATCCTCGGGCGGCGTCGTCACACTCGGCAGCTCCGCCACAGGCTGCGGCGGCCTATACGCCTGATACGGCTGCCCCTTCTCATTTAACACCGGATGCACACTCGTATCCGCCAGCTCCATAGCCTCAGGATGTGTGAAAGCAGCTTGAGCGGGTGAGTACTGCGGAGGAATAGTATCCCAAGTCGTCCTATTCGGATCACCGTTTCCGCCTCCAATTCCAACGGCGTCTGGTCCATACGGCGTGCCCTGATGACCCGGCTGAAACCCGTTTCCAGACGGCAGTTCAGACACGCGATTTGCGCGCCCCGCGCCAATTGGGTTCCCGTCGATTTCCGCGGTCGCGGGGCGCGAGTTGCGGTATGTTTCTTTCTTACTCTTGTTGAGTTTTCCAGCGCCAACGAGGGGGCTGTCGCCTTCGACTTCGGAGGAAGGGTCGTGGTAGGGGATGGCTTTTTGTTGGCGGCGCTTGCGGAGGAGCCAGAAGATTATGCCGACGAGGGCGAGGGCGAGGGGGATGCCGACTGCGCAGCCGATTATGAGACCGAGGTTGGATTTTGAGCCGCCGTTGGAGGAGGAATCGTTGTTGGCGTTGCTGGAGCCGGCGGTGGGAGTGGGGGTTACGAGGACGGTGTTTTGGATTGTGACGACGCCGCCGCCGGCACTTGTGGAGAGGCTTTGGATGACGGAACTGAAGGGCGTGGCTGTGGTTGAGGCGTCGTCGGCCGTGGCGGTTGCAGAACCGGAGTTGGGGGCGTCGGTAGAGGGAGAGCCTGAAGAGCCTCCTGCTGTCGTCTTCGATGCTTGGTTTCCTCCTCCTGATCCACCGCCGCTCGAAGCCAGACCGGTGATAGTCGCAAGGTTGGGAGCAGTTGATGCTTGGTTTTGGCCAATTGTCGCATACGCCTCTCCGTCCTGCAGCGCGAAGAAGGGTCGTGGCGATGGTGATTCCTTGCAACATTTTACGTTGACGTTGTCTGCGTTGCAGCACCACTGGTCATCGTGGTCTTTGCATTGTGTGATCGACTCGCCTCCACCAGCTTTCACATCTGCTGGATGTTAGCAACGATCAATTGGAGAATTCGACGTACTTACTGTTGTTGATTGTGCACATGTTCGAGGCACAGCCTTCTGCTTTCCAGTCCTTGTCTGTACAGCTGTATCTGCCGTACAGGTTACCGGCCGGTAAGTGGCAGAGACCATTGTCTAGACATTCCCAGGTATCCGGACAGCAAGCAGAACCCTCTACTGACGAGCAGGGCTTTTCTGAATCCGGCGCCTCGTTGCCATTAGGGTAGTCTGTTCAGTCAGTCAGTCGCCGCTCATCGTGACGATATCGATTCCATCTTACAGCATTGCTGAGCGGTCGCATGTGTCGCAAGAGCAACAACAGCAGCAGTGCGCAACCACATAAGAGTAGGCATAATGCGCGTTCACCAGATGGGTCCCTTGTTCGGCTCAAAGGCAGTACCTGAAAATACTTCTCGATCCTTGCAGTCGGTGTCGAGATCGTTTTTCCAGCTCCGACGATAGTGGAGAAAGGTGAAGGTGAGAGAAGCGAAGCGAGCAAAAGTCCCGAAAGAATCGAGAGTGTAGAAAGCAAGCAGACAAACTCAAAGACAAGGGACCAAGGAGCAAAGACACTGCACGATGATCGCACGCCCGTTTGCCTCCAACCCCAGTCTCGCTCATCCTGGATATACACCGAACGAAGCCCTGACCCACCCAAGCAAACTTTACCCCATCCGTCCAATTCGATCCAATTAAACCAATTAAACACCAGTCTCCACAACGCATCACGCTCACGCCCCCCTCCTCGGTTGCTCGCAGTCCGTTCGTTTAGTTACCGAGAGGCTGGGCGGGTCACGGTGAGGTCATCGGGAAATACCATCACCACCATCAACCCATGCACAGCGGCGCTCACGTTCCTTGCACTAGGCCCGAGCGGCCGCCCTCGCCCTCGTATCAGCAGCGTGCGCCAGGCGGGAATTTAGAAAGGTTGCGGTGCGAGGTGGTACCAGGGCCGGCGATCATCCCATGCGGCGATGCGATGTTTGTGGCTGAGGCAGAGTGAAACTAACGCGCTGTCTTTGATTGTGGGAATGGTGGAATGCGGATGCAGTCTGAAGCTGTTGGAGCCCGCAGAGTGAACACCGACTGCGACTGTTGCTGCGCAGGAGTGACCTACCCTACCTACCTACCTACCAGCCGCTCTGCGATGCGATGCGATACGAGCGATCGCCGCCCGCCATTTCGACCGTCGCGGACCCTCGCACGCTCTCGCATGATTCAAGCCAGAAAACCGGCTTTTCCGCGCCCTTGTGCGCTACAACTGTTCGCTGTTCTCTCACCAACCCTGCGGATATCCGTCTCTTATATTGCTATATTAGACAGGTGTACGTAGGACGTATGCGCTTTGTACCCAATTGCCATGTCTCGCTTCACACACGAGCCTGTTGTCGCATGTTGAACCACACCCGTCCCTTTCTCACTCCGCGGCTCCTATTCCACATCCACGCATCAATAATATCCCGTGTCTACATCGCTTCTCGCTTCCATGACAGCGAAGGCGGTGGGATCGACCAATAGTCGGTATCGGTAATGAGCGCTTCGTATCACGGCGGATGGTGGTGTTTGAGCTATGCGGATGACGTGCCTGGTAGTCTTGTCCTGTTGCACGGGGGAAAGGTCCCGAGGTCGACGTTGCAAGCTCAAGAATCTAAAATTCTAAATACGGTGGTGCACGCCAGAATGCAGGTGGTCTCTCAGCCTTGCGACACCGTTCAGAGACGGCGTGCTTGCCCTGCGTCAGGACTGCGACTTCATGCACACCCTTTTTCTCTGGTGGCTTCGCGCGGACTTCGTATTTTGGATGTCTGCATCGGAATGTTCGGCGCGGCACTGTCGTTGGCTTTCATTAAGGTACGCAGGTGTTGTCGATCTACCGGGCCTTACGCTGTCATCTTCCTGGGGAGTGCATTGTTGTTGCAAGTAAACATTTTGTGTAACTAGAAGATATTGGGGTACTTCGCACAACATTGCACGAGGCAGTGCATTCATTTGACAGGTTACACAGCGTCCCACCGAACAAACCTTGGAATGCCAAACCTCAAAGAGTCTTCATTGAAGGATGAGGACATAGTACCTAGGTAGGCTCAACCTCGGCACAACCTCCCCTTCCATCGGTCCTTCGTGTTCTTTAGAAGAGTCTTTAGTGCTGCAACATTCGGCGCGCGACTCCACCAAGACACTTTGCCTCCCGTATTCGGTCGCTTCACGGATTAGTGATAGATGGTCGTGCTGCGCTAGGCAATCAATAGCCGAGTTGTGGTCGGCATTGACCCTAGATTACCTATCAGAAACCACATTTGCAAAAGTTCGTGACCATTGGAGAGCATTGTTGCATCGCGAAATACCCAGATACACATTGTAGCTTTCATCGTACTACAACATCGACAGACTTCCTCCCACGTCAACCTAGGAAAGACCTGAACGCCCTGGAGGCTACATCGACGTCAAGTCACCAACTCTGCATTTTTCCATCTTGATGTAGTCGCTAGATCTGCTTTCCTGCCTTACAATCACTATCTGCCCATCAAAACGTTAGATTCCGAAGGAGCGAAAAAGGACCGTTACTGGCAACATGCTCTACCTAGATCTTCAATGACGACGGGAAGATTGCCGCGCATACCTACCATTTCATCCTGCCACCACACCACAACAACCGACACACTCCCTCTCACCCAACCCCTCTCCCTGGCCGATACCACAGCCATCCTGTCCTATGAGCGCCGTATATCCCATCAACCCGTTATACGCGTCGAAGTGCATCTTTCCAATCGACCGATCTTACAGTTCTAAAGGAAAGAAAACATCGAAGACGAGTAACGGCAAAGATGGGAGAAGAGCAGGGTCGCATCTACCACAAAACCCATTAAACACGATCAACAGTCCGGTTGGCCAAGGTATAGGCATAATAGTTCTAGGGCCATCAGCTCAAGTACATCAAGGTGCAGTTGTAGATCATAAACCACCAGCACCTACACATCTCCCTCATACACAGCCACGCTCAAATCACAGATGAGGCAGCATCACGTCACACATTCGACTTCAAGCCCGACAATATTGTAGGTTATCCATCTCATTCATGCTACCTATCAAACATGCAGGATGCAGGCAAGGCTGTTTATGCCTTGCCCTCCTTGCAAGCCAGCAGTATTACGTGCCGGGCTATCCCACCCCTCCCTCTTCCTAAATCATGATATCATATCCGAAAAGAAATCGTTCGTCGTTCATATTGACACCGACGCTGAAGCTGGAGCAGCAATGAAGCGTTTAGTGGGCCTGACGTCCGCCCTGGGTCTCGTTGGTGATGCCGATGCGCTCGGAGTTCTATTCACACACGAGCGTTAGCGAGTGTACTTACAACGCACGGCGGGGCAAACGACTCGAAAAGTCGTATCCCAATCTCACACAAAACACAGCAAGGAAGAACGTACCTCAGAGCTCTGCACACTACCCTCCTGCAGAATCTTCTTGAAGATATCATCCTCCTTGGCATCTTTACCAAACTCGTTCTCAAGCTGCTGCTTGCTAGCCGTGTTGAGGACACCTTGCTTGCCGTGTTCGGGGACAAGGACTTTCCACCCAGCCACAACATCAACCATGGGAATCGTGCTATCAGCCTTCCACTTCTGAAGCTCCTCTACGCTCTCGACGAAGATGCAGAATTGGTCGCCGGAGGAGCCCTTGTAGAAGACTTGGGTTTGGGGGGAGTTGCCGCGGGCCATTTTGTCAAATCAACTGTGTCTTTCGATGTGGTTCGTGTGGGTATCCGTGTAGTGTTTCTTGGATCTCGCACGGAGAAAGATGTGGTGAAGTAGAGAAGAGTGAGATGTGTGTGTAATGGGTATCGAGTGATGTGGTGGGATGGAGGGGAAGCTTTAGAGGGGCTATTTAGAGCTACGTGATCTGGAGCTTTGACCGGGTGGGCGGGCTACGTCATTGCCAAGGGTTATTGCACGCTCTCACCTGGCATGGTAATTGCGCACGCAAGTTCTCACGCCTTGTTTTGGGTTTTGCATTGAGGCTCTTTGGGCTGAAACGGGTGGGCAAGGATGCAGGCCAGCTTCTATCTGCTTTGCCATGCGGTGCGATGAGGCTGCGACGACGCGATGTAGACATACCAAAATTTAAAGAGCCCCGAGCATATACGTATCTCACGCAAGCGTTCCAGAACATATAATCATGATTCAATCATTACTATCCAAATACCCCTATCCCATCACAAACAAACGCCGCCCCTCCATCATGCGATCGCGTGCCCAGGTACCAGTACGTACGTGTCCATATCCCAAACCCGCTAGCCGCATGACGTCATGCCGTGCATCCCGATCCCCAGACTTTCACCCGCCGTCCAACGTGGGCTGGCAGGCTTTCGCCCAGATCGTGAGAAGAGCGGGTGTACCTTGCAGTAACGCTCTGCTGATCGCATGATTAATCATTATTCTTGTTACACTGGCCCTTGGTTATCGGAGTTATTGCCGTTGCCGTCGCCGTCGTCTCAGTCGTGGTAATTCATGTTCTCGTACTTGCTGTTGGGGCAAGGATAGTGGTGGTCGTTACGTCGTCAAGGGAAGTATGTACTTGCAATGCGTTGCCGTTTTGGTGGACACACAATGCGTGTCCAGTGTGGTATGTCATGTTGGTCCAACAGAATATGTGTGTTGGATCATCGGAAGAAATTAAAGATCCTACTCTTGCTCTTCGAAAACTTGTTCGAAGTCGAGTGGTTTGAAGATGCAGGCCGGGATTCGGGGGTAGTCTCTTCTTGCCGTCGCTGTTTCCTGTTTTCTATGTTTTTGGTTACCTCGGCGCAAGGAGGTGGTGCGCGTACGGTGGTTGCTGTTGATGCGTGCGAGACGGTTCTCTCGGCGACGCGAGCGCGTGATTCTGATCGTGGGAGACTGATCAGATGCGTGGAAAGACGTCGAACTTTCTTTGGTTTGCTCTGTAGAGGCTTGTCGGTTGGACGCTCAACGCCTATCGCTCGATTGGCAAGACGGCGGCGTCTACTCGAAGGCCGCGTGTCTTCGACCTCAAAGTCCTCAGGTA